ATCCAGCTCTGTAGGACCTGTTGTTTTTTGTCTCTCTTCTTCATAACCTCTGCCTCAGCCTCTGTCCCAAGTACCTTCCCACCTGTGGGCGATCCATAAGTATGATGTAGGCCTAATTAAATATGTAGAGCCCGTTGTCATCCACTCAGTCACTCTTTCGGCCCAAGCTGCAGCAGTACCCCCTAAAACAGGAAGCCACTGACGGCATCACACCTGTTTTCCAAGCTCTGCTGAAATCGGGAGTGATTTTCCCCTGTCCTGACTCACCTTTCTTTCCTGTGAAAAAAGTTAGGGACACCCCACCCAATGAATGGAGGTTCGTACAGGACCTATGAGCTGTTAATGCTGCAGTACATGCCCGTGCCCCCACTGTTCCAAACCCTTACAATATTTTGTCTCAAGTACCCCCTGAAGCAATGTGGTTCTCTGTGGTGAACCTGGCAAACGTGTTTTTCAGCATCCCCATTCACCCAGACAGCCAATTCTGGTTTGCCTTTGAATTCAATGGTTCCTCTTACACTTTCACCCATCTCTGTCAGGGGTTTTGTGAATCACCTACCATTTTCCATCAAGCTCTGTGTCACAGTCTTTCCTCTCTCACCCTTTCCCCAGATTCCACCCTGCTCCAGTACGTAGATGACCTAATGTTAACTACCCTGACCAGAGCAGTGTGAGGCAGACACCGTCACACTCGTTTGTCATTTGGCATAGCGGGGCCACAGGGTCAGCCTCACCAAGCTTCAGTTTGTTCAAACTCAGGTCACCTTTTTGGGCCACGTCTTGTCTGGATCAGGTAAAACCTTGTTCCCTAAAAGAATTGCTGTCATAACTACTCTACCTCGTCCCATCACCAAACACCAACTCATGTCCTTTTTTGGGTCTGTGCTTCTACTGTAGGTTGTTTATTCCTAACTACTCACAACTTGAGCTGCCCCTCAGAGACATCTGTCATGCCCCTGGTCTGGTCCTGTCCAGCCTCATTTTCTGGACCCCAGAGGTAGATTTGGCCTTTGTGAGCTTAAAAATTGCCCGCCAGAGTGCCCCCACCTTGGGCCTCTCCAACCCCTTAATACCTTTCACTCAGACAATAGATGAAAAATCTGGTTGCATGACCTCAGTCCTGTTGCAACATCGTGGTGATCGCCTACGGCCCATAGCATATTTCTCCTCCAAATTGGACCTCGTGGCTGCAGGCTTACCCTGTTGTTTGTGCGCAGTCGCTGCAGCCAAAAAGGCCCTTTTGGCCTTGAAAGATGATGTTGGCTACTCTGATTTGACCCTTCCAGCTCCACATGTAGTAACACTCATTCTTAATGAGCAAAAAACATTGCACTTGTCAGCAGCTCGTTTCTTACGCTATCACATGTGTCTGCTTTACATGTATAACGTTATCATCAAACACTGCACAGCTCTAAATCCAGCCACACTGCTCCTCCTTCCTGATGGTGGGGAACCACATGACTGTGTGGCTGAATTGGATCTGACATGTACACCACGACCTGACCTATCTGACATACCACTAACTGACCCAGACATGGTTCTGTATGTTGACGGATCTGCACGCCGTGATCCTCTAACTGGTACTAACCTTGTGGGTTTTACTGTTGTTTCAGATTCAGATGTGCTGCTTTCGGGTCCTCTTTCTCATGGTCTGTCAGCACAGGCCGCAGAGCTGGTGGCATTAACAGAGGCATACAAATTGGCCCTTGACAAGACAGTGACCATTTACACTGACATCAGGTATGCTTTTGGGGTTTGCCATGATTTTGGAGTACTTTGGAAACACTGCCGCTTCCTTAGGTCTAATGGTACCCCCATCCAGCATCACAAAATCATTTTTGATTTGCTAGAGGCCATTCTGCTTCCAACTTGAATTGCTGTGTGCAAATGTTCCGCTCACACCTGCGCTCAGACCCGGTCTCCTGTGGCAACGCAGCAGCAGACACAGCTGCTAAAGTAGCGGCTTCCTCTTCGGCTTCTGTGCTCATTGAAACACAGGAAGTTATAGACATTTTCTGCTCTCTCACAAACATGCAAACTTTTGCTACTGCTGAAGAGAAACAAGCATGGCGAACAGCAGGCTGCCATATACAACAGGACATCTTGATAGGCCCAAATTCTAATCCATGCTTGCCAAAACATTTCTCCCTCACTTTGCAAAATTGACACATTCCTTTCATCATGTGTCAAAGGGAGGAATGTTATCACTAATAGACAGCCACTGGTTCACGATCGGTTTTTCCACGGTGGCCCAAAAATCAGTAAATACCTGGGAATTGACTTAAAGAAACACTGCTCTTACCACCCAGACAGTGGAAGAGCAATAGAAAAAGAAAATTACATGCTAAACAAACAAACTAGCCAAATGTTGCACTGACACAGGACTGTCATGGCCAAAAGCATTGCCCTTGGTATTAATGGTCATGAGAATGAGGAAATGAAGCAGATGTAACCTAAGTCCATTCAAAATTATTTTTGCAGCACTCCCCGAGAATTGGCTTCCACCCACCAGCTGCACCCCTGCCCTCCACAACCTTTAGCAAGAATCAAATGTTGACTTACTGCTCTAATCTGTCCTCTGCTCTCAGTTCCATCAGATTATGAGTAAAATCAGCGCTCCCTGTCCCAGCCTCCGGACCTCTCCATTCTCTGCGGCCAGGTGACTACGGTGAAAATCTTCAGATGAATCTCCTGGAGAGCCAAGCACTGGCTGGGGCCATTCCATGTCCTTCTGACAACCAACACAGCCACATGGATCCATGCCAGCCACTGCAAAAAGTTGTCCAGCACTGCGGGCCCAAGAGAAAGCAAAGGACCCTAAGGTGCCGGACCTACTAGATGCTGGACTTCGAGGAAACGCAGAGACACCTTTGAGATCAGGGCAGCTGGAAATGCAGAGCCACTTGTGAGATCAGGGCAGCTGGAAACGCAGAGCCACCCAGGAGTTGGGGCAGCCAGATTCGGGACGAGATGGATGATCTGAGGTGCCTTCTGCACAGCTATCCTGCACCTCCACCCCCACCACCTTGCCAACTGCGATTCTGGCATCAAATTGCTGGGAGATGGTGGAACTGTGTTCACTGGCCATGCCTGTTCATGCTCATGACCTTCCTTTTTGGCTTCGTCCTGTTCCTGATCTGGCTCTGGCTTATGGGCCAACTCACCAACTCGACCAACATAACTGTTCATAAAAGAGCTGGGTGATCTCAGTTGGAAAATGAATGCACGAACTAGAAACCAGGATGTTCCACAGGTCCTAATATAACTATTGTAAAAAAAACACCACAAGTTCTGTGCTGCTCAACCCATGTGTGTATTTCCCTCTGACACCTGCACTTAAATGCCTAGGAGTAGATTTTCTTTTCTCCCTTACAAATGCAGACACCAGACGAGAACAAGGCAACAGTTTGTTGTGGTGGAATGTGGTAAAAACTAGGGATGCACAATATTATCGGCATGGTATCAGTATCGGCCGATATTAGCATTAAATTTCAATATCGGACATCGACCTTTCCATTAAAATAACTCGCCCATATAAAAGGTGCTGTTTTTGCCTGCAGTGGCTGCGCAACGCAATGATATCACGCGCGTTTACCTAAGCTCACGGCGGAGTCTGGAAAATTCAAAATGTCGGCAGTGTGGAAGTTTTATTTTTCGTTGGTAAGGATGGCGAATTCTGAAGATGTACAGTATGTACTACGTTGAGCCTCGATACATTGTCCGCAGTCAGAGATATTCAGCCGACGTAACATTACCCGAGTTACCAGCTGTCATTTCCGACGTCATTAAGAAGCTAATAGCTGATAGCACGACTTGTTGGGTGAGTTTTACCACAGACATTTGGACGTCGTGTTAGCCCTGTTAGCATGATTAGTCTTATGGCGCAATGTCTGTTTTCCATACTTTGCTTTATATGTACAAGGGACTGTACCCACAAAACAGCTAATTTCCATGAGGCCTCTGTGAAGTCAGTGTTTAAACCCTTGTGGGAGTATTGACTGATTTCTGGTTGTCAGCCTTTCCTGTTTAGTTATTGCATCTCCATTATATTGTTTTTCGCCTGTTATTTTACTTTTATGCGCTATCTACCATTTTCAAGTTTAATTTTATGATTTTATTAGTATATGTTGTTCATTTTAGAATGACCAAAGGGAGGAATGTGATGGAGGACTTTTTCCACAGGCCCTGAAGCTCCACACCTCTAGTAAACGGGTACAAAGTTTGCACCTCCAAAGTTCCACTTTTCTAGTTAACAAGTATAAAGTTCTCACCTACTGTCTGTTCGTGAGTAGAACTGATGTTTGTGTGATTAAAAAGACAACACCACACACTCTGCATCATTCTGTGGAAAATCACTGAACATGCTTTGTTTAACTGGTTGGAGGTCAAAGGTGTACCTTTCAAAAGTGCATAAGTACTGGTTTGACGTTTTACCTGTGCATTCTTGTACTGACCGTTCAGTCAATCTGTATGATTTGTGCTTTTATTGCAATAAATAACTTAAATATCGTTTTGTGAAGACAAGTTTTTAATCATGCATTTCTGCTGCATTTCCACGACAAGCTCACTCCCAAGCTTCCACAGATTTTTTTTTACTCATATTGTTGTCTTGAAAACTGGAAGTAAAGCATACTTTTAATTAAAAAAAGCTGCAGAAACACAAAACGTTCACATTTTCCTTCGCTCAAGGTTTGAGTTTTTAGGATCTGAGTAATGTTTTTTTGCACTGCAGCTGTTGGTTTAAAGCTTACTTTTCAGTCTGCGTTTCTGCCTGCATCTCACTGACTTGGCAGTCGGGGAGCGACAGACAGTCAGTGCATTGTTACCATGGTGAACATAAAGAATCACAGGCAGCAACTTTAACATTTCTTTTGATCTTGATTCTCTTTAAACATCTTATACAATTTGTGTCAAACATTTTGTCAAAATTATGTTCATATTTTAAACAGTAGAGGCAACTTTAAAAACAAAAACAAACAAACAAAAAGTTCTGTTCTTACCACCAGCAAATTTCCACAAGACTCCAGTGTTGCCAAGCTGATACTAAAGATTACAACAGTAGGAAAAGTGTTGTTATTAATAAATCCTCGACAGTGTGCGTCTCCATGCCGACCGTTGAGAGCCAAGTCAGCATCCGTGTAGCCAGAGAAGAGGACAGGGCAAAAGTTGACCTTGAGTGTGATGGTCTGAACTCCACAGTACACACTGATATCTCTCTCCGCTGAAACACACAACAAGCATCCTGTACATTAAAAACGCTGAAGTCATGTTTGTATGAAGATTAAATATTTGCTTGTAGTTGGGGTGAAAAAAAATCCTGAATCCAGTGACATTATTAGATTATGTCTAAGATCATCTGGACGGTTTCTTATTTTTGCTGAGACGTTTTGTCCTTCTAATGAAGGACGGGTGGCCCCTCAGATTGAAGTCCTTCAGATGAAGAACGAAACGTCTCAGCAAAAAAAGAAACTGTCCAGATGACCTGACTGAGCATTGTTGGATTTTTACCTGGATTACTGAGCATGAACTTTGGTATGTCTGTAAGGTTCATTTTTCAGGAGAGTAGTTCATTCTCTACACTTCTGAGTTAACAAATACGACAAACATCTGCTAAGTTTTTTTTCTAGCCCCATTAACCATGAACAGTCGATTTATTGTAACAAGTGGGAATTTTGCTTTAAAGTATCAATAATTTGCAAACTGAGGTGGAGTAGTTAGAGCTACAACCTCTCAGTGAGAAGGTGGGTTTGTACTCTGGTTTCCTCTCACACACCAAAATACACGTTAGGCTAATTTGTAATTCTAAATTGTCTTTAGGTGTGAGCGTGAATAGTTATTTATCTCTGTGTGTCCCTGTGATGGGCTAGTAACATGTCCAGAGTGTCCTCCACCTGCTGGAGGAAGACAACAGTTTCCAGTGATCCAGTAAAGGGAATTAGGTAAATTAGATGGATGGATGGATGATGGATGGATAATGTATTGGTGATGGATGGATGATGGATGGATAATGTATTGGTGATGGATGGATGATGGATGGATGGACAAATGTATCAGTAAACAGAGTTGCTTCATTTGTATCTCAGTTTCTCACCAGGAAAGCGGCTGTGAAGGTTGGCGTCACAGTTGAATCCATTAAACTGAGCTCCAGTTAACTGGGCTGTACTGAACAGTGAGATAATCAGAAATATATATTCCATTTCAGCACCTGAAACACAACAGGAACCACATGTCAGGACTTCCTTGTATCACATCAGAAAACCTAACATTTGAAGCAGGTGGTGAAATTATTGTTTATATATTTTTATTCAGCCAAACCCGAAATATTAAACTTTCCATAAAAGATTTCATCTGTGAAAATTAAAAGTAATCGTTTAATGTCTGAACATGTTTTAGATTTCTGCTAAACATATGTCAGAACAGTTGAATGTCACATAAAATTATCTTTAAACATCTCTAATTTCAACATCATTATGAAATCAAATCCTTTTATTTGCAAGACACAATTAAAGCAACTCAAGTTATCCAAAATGCTGAACAATGAAATCATAAAACAGCAAAAGACAGATACGAATAGCCAAATATATAAAATATTAACTGCTGGAGATCGGTACCAGCTCTCCTGTGACCCTGATAGGAAAGTGGGTAAAGATAATGATGGATGGGATATAAAAAGGACAATAAAACATACACCTAAAAAGCCAAACCAGTTATTTGCAATTAAAAGCCAAGTGCAAAATGTGTCTATTTGAGGCTTCACCCAGGGATCCACACTTGATTAACCGTGAAAGATTGTTTTTGTGGGGAAGGAACTATCTGCCCTACAGACAGACCTGGAACTTAAATAATTTAAGATGTCTAGAATTTGAATAAAGGCAGATAAGTTCTGGAAAACAAACATTCAGGTGCCATGTAAAGATTTAACAGCAAAGTATTTGGAAATCATTGGTGTGTTGAACTGGATGCCAGCAGAGATGCAGCAGAGTTACTGGTTCTTTTCCTGCTACCAGGAACCAGGAAAAGAACCAGAGGCAGACAATGCTAAGAACCTTTCTTCTAACCTGTACAGCTGTCTGTGAATGCCTCATCAGATAATAATTTCTTATCAGACACAGAGACTTGAAGAAACAAGTAGAGGACTGAAAGTTGCTGTGCAGCAGCAGAACTACTCACCCTGGTTCCTGGAAGCCAGCAAGTCAGTGGTTCTCCATAAACATGGGATAGATGAAGGAACAGTCTGCACAGCATCCCTACCAGGCAAATAGAAACTGGATCCTAGAGCATGGGGGGGAAAGGGGCTCTACGCATAAGAGATTCATTATTAGAAGATGTCAACAAAAATGGCTGTCCAGAGTGAACATGGGAAAGTCCATCAGACCTGAATGTGTTATACAAATCCTTTCACGTCCACAGAAACATGAGCAGCTTTTGAAGTTTTCCACTCAAATCCTTTGCTTCAGTCAGGCTCAGCCAATGCTCACAAATGGTTTGACGCTGCATGTGGTCCAGAGGCTGCTGTGGTGGGGGCAGAAATATCTTTTCATCGCACCGGTGACCTTAGTCCTCTGACTGAGCTGTACCTTTTTGCCAGGAGCCGTCAGGGACCTCAGAGCCGACCCACTCAGGCCCTGGACCTCAGGAATCCCCACTTTTGACTCTTTGTGTGCAGAAGTTTTCAGTCAGCACATCAGCATTCAATCTGTTCCGTTGGCACTTCGAGCTGCTGCCCACCTGATACCTGATCCACAAACTTTGACTCCTGGTCATAGAAACCACCTCCTCGTGAAGAAGGGAAGAGTTTCAAGGGATTAGTTGCTCTTTGCTGTCCCATCTCCCATATGGACAGCTGGTATTTTATGACCCAACACACAGACACCATGTGAAAATGCAACATGAGAGCACAACTTTAGCAAACTGCTCATATTCAGATGCACTGAGAAATAACATTTTACTGTACACATGTTCACTATTGACATTATTTCAAACTGTACCTACATGGTATCCTGGAGCATGCTCAATAATCCAGGTAGAAACTTCTAAAAAAGTTAAGTCAGGTCTAGAGGACCTGACTTAACTTTTTTAGATGTACATACATGGCTACTGTTCATGTTTCTTTGTGTAACCACTATGTGTAACTCACAAACAGGTAGGCTGAGAAATTTGGATTTCAGACCCAATGTTGTAGTTAAAATTAGTCTAATGTCTAAGTTAAAAAAAGGAGGATAGTGAGCACAAACAGCCAGGATGCAAAAAGAAATATTGTTTAATACAAAATTAAATGAAATACAGTTATTGTACTCTTTTCTTGTACAACAGAAAGTGTTTACCTTTGTTACACCAGGTAACATATTCTCTTTTACTTTAAACTTCTTATTGTTCAGTTCCTTTCTTTATCTCAGTTGGTGATTTAAGTCAGTCAAGCTGGTTTGTTCAACATAGTTTCTTAGTCAATTTCAATGGCCATGTGTTTCTTGAGATCCCAAATTCTATCTTAATCCAATAAAAGGTAGGCAACAGATCCAGCGGTCCCAGATCTTGGGTTGAAACCTGGAGCCCAGCACATCCAATCCAGGCCTGTAGAAGTGTGCAGCTGGACAATGTCCCAAGTTGAACGGGGTTCAAAAAAACCAACGAGAGAAAATCACTGCAGATACGGATTCAACCATAAGGATCAGGTCACTTATCCTCTCTTCCATCAACCATGAGTGGAATTCATTAGCATTTGTTGTATAACTTGCTTTCTTTCTTTTTTTTTTTTTCTCAAAATGAAATAGCTTAGCACAACATGTGCTGCAGCCAGCTATGGTTTCTTCTTCCACTCTTTTTTTTCTGCTGGTTAAACCACAGAGTACATAACCCATTAAGCCACCTACTGGCGGTTTCTGATAGCAAACACAAAAACAAAATTAAAATAAAGACAGATTTTCTGGTGCAATGAATTACAAGAAAAAAAACAATGGGAAAAATAAATCAAATGCCACTAATAATAATAATATTAATAATAGTAGACACATTTATGGGGGTTACATTTGCATATGTGTGTGTTTTGTTTGTCTATTAGAAAAATATCTCATGAACCACAGGACAGTTCCCTTTCGGTCAGGACATTCGGCACAACACAGTAGTATGGGGAATTCCACCCTCACGAGACCAACCTGAAGAAGTTTTTTCAACACCCCTGTCACGGCAAATGAGACTGCTGCAGACACAGGAGGCCCCACCCTCCTAGGTTATAAATATGCAGCATGTTCTCATTTCCCTAATCTTTTTGCACTTCACCTCGCTTTAACCTGACTGCAGGTCCCTTGTATGTGGCTTAACTGTCCGACTGGAGATGAGCTTGCTCCCTGCCCAGGGCGTCACTACAAGGTTTGATCCTGCTTGCTGCTCGTTTAGCTTGCTAACTTGCAGTATCTGTTTATCCCGTTTAGCCCAGCTAACGGTCACATTTTCTGCCTTGCTGACTTTCTAGCCTGTTTAGCTTGCTAACCGGCTAAGTTCGCTTTTCCCTGTTTAGCCTTGCTAACGTGGGAGCACGTTTGAACAGCATAGACAGTCTTAAGTGTTTAAAGCAGCTAACTTTCTGCCTGTTTAGTTTGCTAACTGGCAATACGCTCTTTCTCGGCCAGAGAAGAGCAAGATCAGAGCAGGGCTTAGTTAGATAGAGAACTTTACTAATTGGTTTTTATGCATGTGAATGTTTCTGTAAAGTGCCCTGAGACAACTTTGTTGTGATTTGGCGCTATATAAATAAACTGAATTGAATTGAATTGGATTGGCTTCACTCCTTGCTGACAAAGCTAGCTTTGCTGGGTGAGCTACCAAAATGTGAAGCCCTGCTCCACATCCAGGTCCGAGAATTTATGGATTTTCTCTCTCAGAATCGGACACCCATGAGCCATGACGCTTGTCCAGTGTGTCACGGCACGCTGTATAATAAGGCTGCACATGCTAATGGAGTAAGGTAATGTAAGTAATGGAGAAATCTACTGCGCACAGTGTCTCACCACACACGCGTACAATATGGTGAAAACACAGAGCTGCCGGAGGAGGCATGACAGACTGAAGGAAGCGGTTGTCACACAGCGACACCTGTCATTCGAGCTACTGGAGAACCAGCTCTTACTTTCTCTCCATCAAGCGACGAACATTCAGAGCTGTTTGGACAAGCTTTGGAGAAGATTCGGAACCGCTGTGATCAGCAAGGCTGCAGCTGTTTTTCTCAACAGCAAGTTTTGTCAAACTCCCACGCATACACAGTCTGCTTTGGAGTGAAATGCAGAGCAGCGTTCACAGGGGTGCACCTCTGTGTAAGATCAGCGTGCAAGAGGCCACCACTGAAAATCGAACCATAGTAGCCACCGCTCACTGCCAGTCAGCGAGAGCGTCTGCAACCCGCAGCGACCTCAGAATCAAGTTTGAAACTCAGAGCCTGTCCACCCCCAGGGCAAAAGGAAAGCTTCTTATGTACTTGTTTTCAACCAGTTTGACAAGACTGTCAACAAGAAAGAGGGCCGGCAATGGAGGAGGGGCGTACCAAAGAGACCATCTTATCACAAGCAGAACTGGTTTGTTCCACTTTGAAGTAAACTGTTGTGGGAAGAATCAGTTTTGTTGTGTGTTTCCTTGACTGATGAAGCCTTCCGGATCGAAGGTGAAACGTTTCAGCATAAAAAAGAAACTGTCCAGATGACCTGACTGAAAAATGTTGGGCTTCTTATGTACAGTTTGCTTCAGAGTCATAAAGATCTCTATTTGAGCAAACTAAAGGTGTCCAAGCACACACACACTTCTCATTACCCTCCTATTCCTGCAATAAGAGGTAATATAAAACACAAATATAATTGTGTGTCATCAGCATAACAATGAAAATGTATCCCATGCTGTTTAATAAGTTTACCTAATGGAAGCATATATAAAGTAAAGTATTGGCCCAAGCACTGAGCCCTGAGGAACTCCATGACTAACTTTGGTGTATGAAGATTTATTATTTACATTTACAAACTGGAATCTATCAGATAGATATGATTTAAACCATTTTAGAGCTGTTTCAGTAATCCGAATATCATATTCAATTCTCTGTAGTAAAATATTGTGATCAACTGTATCAAATGCAGCACTGAGGTCTAACAGGACCAGTAGAGACACAAGTCCATTGTCTGAGGCCATGATAATATCATTAGTGACTTTTACTAGTGCT